TTGGTTTTTAGGTGCAAGTCAACCGGCACACGTGGCTGCTTGATACCATTAAGGCTAAACGGGGTGGCACCCGTTGAGCTCTGCCTCGAGTTATTAATAGCAAACTCGATGAGTGGCAGGTGTTCGTCCCAATCATCCTGAGTGGGCGAAATATAGTGCCTCAGTGTCTCTTCCAGTAAGCGATTCATTCGCTCGGTTTGACCATCAGTCTGCGGATGGTAGGCTGTGCTCATATAGAGGTGGGTGCCTAGCAGGCGAAATGTTTCCTTCCAAAAGTTGCTTGTGAAGCGTGTGTCACGGTCAGACACAATATTCTGTGGAAGGCCGTGCTGTTTGAAAACCGTAGCCACAAAGAGGCGGGCTAGATCTTCCGCACCGACGGATGTGGTTGTGGGAGCGAAGTGCGTCATCTTGCTCAGGCGGTCCACGAACACTACTATCGCGTCATGCCCATTGCGGGTTGTGGGTAGCTGTGTGACCAAATCCATTGACACACTATCCCAAACGTTATCTGGAATGGGAAGGGGCTGCAGCAGTCCGCCTGGCTTTTGATTTGAAGCCTTATTGCGCTGACAAGAAGGGCAGGTACTAACGTAGGCCTTCACGTTAGTATCCAACCCGGGCCACCAAAAATGTTTCGCGATCGCTTTTTTGGTGCGGTCAATGCCGCGGTGGCCAGCATAAGGAACATCGTGATTTTCGTGGATGATGTCCTTTCGCAAGTCAAGCACATCCGGAACGTACAACTGGGAACCGTAATACCAGAAGCCGTCTTTCCGTTTAAGCTGCAGTTTTGCTACCGAGCTCTTCTTGAGCATGGGATCGCCGTCGTACCCGCTTAGGATTCGGCGCCCAATATCGCTGCCAATCAGCGATGCCGTAAGCACGTTCAGCACCACGTCGTGAACCCGACTGAGAGGGTCAGCAACGTTGATTCGTCCGGGTCAGTACTCCCATTTAAAGTCGAAACGTGAGAGGTGTTCCAACCAACGAGCTTGTCGTCGAGAGAGTTTATCGGCGCTTTATCGATGCACCCTCGAGGTAACAGCGCCACTCTTCAAGTGTTAGGACAGTTCCTAAACACTCTTGGTCCGTGGTCGTGTAGTTGTACTCAGCTCTGCTGAATTTAGAGCTTGTGTATGCGACTGGGTGGTGGCGCCCGTGCCATGTAACAACGCATCGGACCAGACAGTGAAGGGTTTGTCTAGTTCAGGGAGTTTTAATACTGGTGCGTTGGTTAAGGCAGACTTCACGCCCTCGAAGGAGCCTTGACAGTCCTTCGTCCAGTGGTAGGGCACCTTCGCACTGGTGAGTGACGTGAGGGGGGCCACAAGAAAAGAATATCCTTGGATACATCTTCGAAAATAATTGGCTAATCCAAGGAACGAACGCAGCTTTTGCAAGTCTGTCGGTATCGGCCATTCTTTAATGGTTTTGACCTTACGCTCGTCCACTTTCAGCCCCTCTCGGCTGACGATGTGACCCAGGAAATGCAGCTCGGTCTGGTTGAACTGGCATTTCGACATTTTTGCCTTAAATTGGTGCTCTCTTAGCAAGGACAACACGGTACGGATGTGTTGTTCATGCTCGGCGGTCTTCAGTAAGACCACAATATCGTCCAAGTACACTAGCACGAAATTGCCAATGTACGCAGCAAATATACGGTTCATTACTGCTTGGAACGTTGCAGGAGCATTGGTTAGTCCAAAGCATAGGACTTTGAATTGATACTGGCCGAGCCCCGGTGCTATGAAGGCCGTTTTCTCAATATCTTCTTTCGAGATGCCCTATGGCAGCCAAACGACGTGTTACACCCCCCCCCCTAGCAACTGGACTAGTTACTCCTGAGACGGGTTACGGCCCAGTTGGTACCCCGTANCGG